ATCCGAATACGAAAGAGTTGCAGAATAGAGGTGAGAGAGTGCTGATAGCCTTTCGGATCGCATTTGCTTTTCGAATCGCATTACAGAGTAACCCGCCAGCTTTTTTGTGTTCACATGTCGCCTGCATTTACTTGGTGCTTTTAAAAAATAGTGAGTGGCCTGTTGATGCATTTTCAATCTTTATAGCTTAAAATCAAATTTGTGAAACCAAAATTCAATTTCCAAGTATGTATTTGCATTTAAGTGACAAAATCAAAAACAACATGAATCAGCTCTTTCAAATGCTGGGCACGAAATGTGGTTTTTTGCGTTCCCGTACTTCTGGACTATGTTCCAATTTTCAGAGCAAACTTTTCGCTTATTCTCTAAATACCGGATCCGGTGGGGATTGTTATGGTCTGATTATGGCAACTTAACGTAACTTACGGTTCTCTCTTAAAAATTCTACTAAATGGGTGTTGCTTATAAATGAACAGCCGAAACTTAACGTAACTTACGGTTCTCTCTTAAAAATTCTACTAAATGGGTGTTGCTTATAAATGAACAGCCGAAACTTAACGTAACTTACGGTTCTCTCTTAAAAATTCTACTAAATGGGTGTTGCTTATAAATGAACAGCCGAAACTTAACGTAACTTACGGTTCTCTCTTAAAAATTCTACTAAATGGGTGTTGCTTATAAATGAACAGCCGAAACTTAACGTAACTTAATGACACGTAGATATATGTTTCATTTTGATTCTCTAAGTTCTACGTCCCGTTAAGTTAAGTTGCCATAATCAGGCTTTTAGGGAAGGAACCTAATAACACAACTCATCGCCTGGGTAAAAGATCGACGTAAGCGCCATTTTGACGATTTTTAGTTCTAGATGCAGTTATATATTTTGAAATAAGGTCTTTCGATTGGTGTTATCAGTTTTTAGATATCTCCTTTAGTTTCCGAGATATTGACTACAATTTTTTTGATAATTTAGTAAAAATTTAGTTAGTGATGCAACCATATCAAACTAATCAATATTTTAAAAATGGCGTTGTCCATTTTTGGATATCTTCTTTAGTTTCCGAGATATTGAGTAAAAAGTGTCGTTAATTTGGTAGAAATTTTGATCACATTTTGTCGTATTTCATACCAAGTGGCTGCCAAATTGTGGACAAATGACGTTTACGACAAAATTTAACTAAATAAAATCCTTCATAAACTCAAAACTAATTAACAATAAACATTAAAAATTAAATAATTTAAGAATTTTGTGAACTAGTAACATTTTCAGAGACTTCAATCGCGATTTCCCTCAACCTGCCGAAATTAACGTACGACAATGTCGTTGTTGTTGTAGCGGCTACAAAAACCCCGCTCAGATCGGTTGATATCTCAGTCGTTGTCGTCAAGATCCACTAACGGCTGCCCTAGGAAGCGTGCAGCCTCTATCGGTCGGTCCACAAGGACAAAGCCGTTAGGGTTGTTGGGTTTTCCGGGCATGCGAAGAGATGTCTCGAGTCATGTGGGGTCTCTCCGCATGCCGGACACTCATTTGACACATCCTCATTCAATCTACTTAGGTAGGAGTTTAACCTGCTGCAGTAGCCAGAGCGAAGTTGGGCTATTGTCGTTCGTGTCTCCCGAGGCAGATGAAGCTCCGTCTCGCCTATGTCCGGTGGTGGTGTGCCTAGAACGGCATTCACAGGTCTAGAGTATACATAACTCGAGACTGACTCCCTGTGAATGCCGTTAAGGGCCAGTCGGTAAGCTGTCGGGTCCAGAGGTTGCTTGATGAACCTCTGGACTTCACCCGTCAGTTCATATAGATGCCTCCTGACATGCCTAGGCGAGGGCTCCTCTGCAAGCAGCTGTCTGTTTGGGTGGCCACTTCTGTGGCTTCCGGTCTGAAACTGCTTGCAGAGCATTATGTTGTGCTCCTTTATGGGGAGCTTTTGTGCCTCGTTGTGGAGGTGATTTTCGGGCGACATCAGGAGGCATCCTGTCCTGGCGGTTGCGTGCGCAGAGAAGGAGAGCAGGCTGTAGAATGTTACTCCGAGTATTTTGGGATTATTCACCGTCGGAATTGGTGTGTCATCGACGTGAATTCCCAGCGGTAGCCTGACCTCCTTCGTCCAGGTTGTGAACAGGGTCGCAGAGGATTTGGTAGGGGAGAGGGCTAGACACTTTGCAGTGAAGAAGCGAGAAAGTTCGGAGAGATACCCGTTTACTTTCGAACACAGGTCATCAATTCCATTCCCAGTCGCCATGATCGAGCAACCGTCGGCGTAAGAGACAATCGAGACTCCCTCTGGTGGTTGAGGGAGCTTTGAAATGTAAAAGGTAAACAGTAGCGGGGAAAGGACACCACCCTGTGGAACCC